AGGCTGCAGGTAAGAGAGACCTGACGACATTGTATCAAATAACCAGGTTGCTATCAGGGAAGAGACCAACACAGATGAAACCAATAAAAGATGAAGAAGGAAATTTAATTACAAAAGAAGAGAAACAGAGGAAACGATGGGCCGACCACTTCAAGAAGCTCTTGAATCGACCACCACCTGCACTTCGTCCAGAAATACCACCTGCAGCCGCTGAATTACAAGTGAACATAAATCCCCCAACGAAAATGGAAGTCCTGAACGCCATAAAGCTACTGAAAGGTGGGAAAGCAGCAGGACCAGATGGAATACCGCCAGAAGCACTGAGAACAGATGCAGAGACAACAGCGGACATGCTCACACCACTATTGCAGAAGGTGTGGAAGGAAGAGAAGGTACCTGACGATTGGAAGAAGGGTTACCTTGTCAAACTGCCGAAGAAGGGAGACCTCAGTGCTTGCAAGAACTGGCGCGGAATCACTCTCCTGTCCACCCCAAGTAAAATATTAAGCCGCATCATCCTGGAGAGGCTTAAAGACGCACTGGATTCAAAACTGCGACCGGAACAGGCAGGCTTCAGGAAGTACAAATCATGTGCTGACCAAATTGCAACGCTTCGTATCATCATAGAACAGAGCGTAGAATGGCAATCAGCTCTATACCTCAACTTCATCGACTTTGAGAAGGCCTTTGACAGCGTCGACCGAGAAGTAATTTGGAAACTGCTTCAATACTACGGAGTACCGCAAACCTTTATCCGCCTCATTCAACAACTATATGAAGATGCCACATGCCAAGTAATCCACAATGGGAAGCTCAGTGATGCCTTTGAAGTGAAGACAGGAGTGAAACAAGGTTGCCTACTATCCCCCATGATATTCCTTATTGTGGTGGACTGGATCATGCAGCAAACAGTAGGCAGCGAGAAGAGGGGGATACACTGGACGACGGAAAAGAACCTAGAAGACTTGGATTTCGCCGATGACTTGTGCCTAATGTCACATAAACTTGAAGATCTGCAGGCAAAAACTAACAAGTTGACAGAAGAGGCAGCTAAGACGGGACTTCAGGTGAATATAGAGAAGACAGAAGTGATGAAGATACCGCACCACCACCATCAACAACAACAACAAACTCCAATCACCGTCAACGGGAGAAACTTGAAGGAAGTAACCTCCTTCACTTATCTAGGAAGCACTGTTTCAACTACAGGCGGGACGGACGAGGACGTCAAAGTCAGAATCGGAAAAGCAAGACAGGCGTTCATTAGCCTGAAACCAGTGTGGAGATCTTCTGCACTCAGCATGCGGAACAAGATACGGATTTTCAACACCAACGTCAAGTCAGTGCTCTTGTATGGCTCAGAGACTTGGCGCGTCACGAAAGGTATTTCCAATAAACTACAGACATTCATCAACAACTGCTTACGCTCGCTGCTGAAGATCAGATGGCCAGAAAAAATAAGCAACAAGGAACTCTGGGAACGAACCAACCAAGAACCTATCACGCAACAAATATGCAGGAAGAAGTGGAGATGGATTGGGCATGCACTGAGAAGGCCGACTGAGGACATCACGCGTCAGGCCCTCGAGTGGAATCCCTATGGGAAGCGACGAGTTGGACGTCCGAGGGTGACATGGAGGAGGTCATGCGAGGAGGAAATGAGAGCTTCTGGGCTGTCGTGGAACCAGGTTCAAAAGATCTCAGAGAACAGAGGTCACTGGAGGCGTGCTACTGAAGCCCTATGTTCCACTCGGAACCCAAGGGACTAATAATAATAATAATAATTGATTTAAGTAAGAGGTAGCTTGGAAAAGTGTTTTGAGAAAACGATCTAAGTTAGGTTCATGTGCAGCTATCAGCATGCTAAAGTTTCAAGTTCAATCTTATTAACTGAAAACCTATGTTCAGCCACATCAGAGCGTATATAGACTGAGCAACAGATTTGAAAACGTATTTAAGGTGATTGTCTTTACTGGTTCAGTGATGATAACATGAAGTAAGAACATTATATTTCATACTCAGAGGAAACTAGCATTAAAAGCAAAGAAATGGTGATAGATGCTGGAGAAGAGGTATTGAAAAATGGCTTACTCTTAAATATCAAAAGAATCTTTTCCGGTAGTGTCTGATTTCTCTTCTGTAGTTGCGGGTAATGACGCTAATATTTAGAGAATGAAATTCGATTTGAGGTATGTAGGGACTGAAAATTCGTCATTATACGTTCAGTTACATATGAGAAAGTGGTACAAGTAATCTATTTCATCACTATGCTATCATTTTACCTTCTGCTCTACTTATTAGTTTATTTTTCTGCCTAAGTATCTGTTTTACTGTCATATGTTCATCCTTTTTCTTCCCTTCGTATCTGTAAAGTAAAGATTCAGTTGTTGCACCTAGTGGTAGTAGTAATATCAACCATATTCATTTTATAATGCTGAATACCTTATCAAAAACATCTTGTGAAAAGTTAACTTCAACCCAGCGAACTAACTGATCTACTATCCTCATTTTTGCAGTAAATTACCACCCTTTTACTTTAAGAACTAGTTACCTTTCTTTATTGAATTAACAGTTCCCATTGGACATTCCAGGTTTTATTGCTAAGAGAAACTTACATGCCAGTACAAAGCCTTGGGTGAGCAGCTGAGCAGAAACTGAAAATCCACGACTATAATTTGGTTCTAATAAGCGAAAATTAATTTTATGTTTCCAGTAAAAAAAAATGTGATAGTTAATAAGCTGTACTTGTCGTATTGCAGCCTTCTTAACTACATTACTATTAAAGACTCCAGGCATCCACATCAGTGAGGGATATTCGTAGGCTGTTTATTTTTTGCAAATCCCTTAAGGTTTGAAAACCTTTTTAAAAAACTCTTTGATTAAACACTTCCTATATCATTTGTATATGCACACCAAGTGAAACTGCTCGTTTGAGCCATATAGTGCGATGCAGAGTAGCCGGTTGAGGTGCGCGGGACAAGAGAAATCAGTGGTTGGAGATTCTAGGTGATATGGCTCAGAACCTATGTCAGTGACACAGATGCATAAACACGTAATTCTCACCATCTCATTTTTCCTTCTTCTCTCTTACTACTTTCTACTTTTACTTCCTTTGACCCATTTTTATTTCCTTCTTCATCTTCCATTTTACTACCTTGTTACTTCATGTGGTGATATGATATGTAGCAACTTGGACCGTTACGCAGTAATGCCTAGTCCTATGTTGATTTTAATGATGATGGGTAGAGTTATGAGTAAACTGAAGTGATTTCTGCAGGACTTTTATGCAAAAATCTGTAAGCTTATCAGTGGTTATTGCTTTCAAATTTATGAATTGATTTATAAAGTAACTAAAGTCAATTAGAAATGAAAATACCTTTCTTTTAGCTTCTTTATTAACAACCTTTATGAATATCATTTAAAGTTGGTTATAATTACTCACTATTTAGTCATTATAGAAAGTCAGCCTAGTACTGATCATCATTTTTAGTGTTATTTCGGATTCAATCCTATCAGCACATTAGCAATTTCATACTAAATCATGGTGTTGGGTTTTGTTATTTCATTATTGCTAGGACATTTGATGAGGTGCAGTTAACCCCATTGGTAAATAATCATACATATTCGTTATTGCCAGTTCATATATAGTCTATCAAAGTAGGATATAGTAAAGCTTGATGTGCACAAAATACTGAAGGACGAATGTTATACTGAACTACCAACATTCCGGTAAGACAATTTTACACATGATGATGAGATGAAAATACTTGCAGATATCCGTTTATTGAATCAAACACTTGCTCATTAAAACAGATTTTCAAAAAGGTTATCGAGATTCTGGTGCTTCATACCATTTAAGTTCAAAACATATATTTCTTACGTAGTTAAAGGTTTTTGCATTTATGTATATAAAGGGTCAAGAAAATTCACATCGAATCAAACTATTTAGAAGAATATTGTTATTTTGTTATTTAAATTTCGAAGGCGAAATGTGTTCGCAACTGAATGAGGACCTGAAAGCCGGAGTTCTGGCTGCGCAGTGGCTACAAATCATCAACTTTGTGAATAAATTTTCAGGAATAGTTCAAGGCATTGAGATTTCACGCTGCGACAAATATCTGTCTAGTGAGGTATATTTTACATTAGTGTTTCCGCTAAAGTATCCAAAAAAGACTGGCTTGGGATAATTATTTAGTTATATACCCTACTTACTCATAGTGGTGTTGGACAAAGGAAGATCACAAGAGGTCTTTATCTCATGTGAAACGGATACATTTATTTGATTTATGTGCTGTAAGGACAATAGATTATAATGCATTGTAAGTAGTTATAAACAGATAACATCTTAATGTGTCAACTAAAAGTCAGCATTAGCTCATTGCATTTGTTGGAAGTTGTAGAGTGATGTGAATGATACCTAAAAATTCTTGCAAAGTTATGTGTCTAAAACTACATGCGACAGGATGCTAATACTTCTGTGAAACAAAACCAAGTGATTCGCCAAACTTTCTCTGCTCTCAGTTGCTCTACTTATTTATTTTCAGTAGTCTCAATTTTTTAAAATCAAGGTTTGTAGAATGATTTGGTTTGCGGCTTTTTCAAAAGCATGAAATCACCACAATTTAAACTTTTTGAACAACATAAAAGCATAGATTTCATTTATTTGATAAGAGTAATATATTGGGCTTGAAGTGATCAGCTTCAAACTCGACTTTTGAACTGTTCCAGTTTATGCATCATATCCTCACTGATGACATCAGAATTTAGGCAGACGAAAAGAAGTTACTTTATCACCTTGCATATTTTCACTGTCATCTTCTTGAACTATTTTTGCTCATCACAATGACGGTGGTGATGATGAAACCGATACTGATGATAAATTTCTTTAATACTTGAGTGGCTCAATCTTAAACGAGGTGATGAAATTTGATCAGTATGTTTACAACCGGAATGTTTCATTTTTCTAAATCTTCTTTTCAACTCCTTCTACTAGTCAAAGTTTACAAGTAATTATTAATCAATGTTAAAAGCCTTAGATATTCTTCAGTTAACTCACTTGGACAATCATGATAAAAGGATAGTTGATGAAGAGCTGAAGTTACCTGACATGGAACTGCTATCATGATTATTCCGACTACAATTATTAAACAAGCGAGAATATTTGATCCTGTGATTAGCACTTTATTTGCAAAGGTTCGATTATCTGTTAGATAAGATATTTCAGTAAACGGCAGAGATCGTTTAAAATTGGAGTCGCCATCACCGGATTCACGTGGATTTAGCATCTAGTGTTTCCATTCACCTTTTAACACACAGTTGTTAAACTTGACTGATCATTTTTGTTCACTGAGCTTTATTATAACCAAAATTCTGGACTCAGATATTCTCTTCTCGTTGGCATCCATACGTAACTTTTCAGATACCGATAATATCTTGATTTCCATTCATATTTATTTCACCACAGTCATACTGTCAAATATTCCATGATGTCATTTTAGTACTGCTTTTGTGCTCGCCACCAAAAGGAAGTATAATTTCGCAAACCATAATGTCATTCTGGACTACCCAATGTGGAAAGCAACAATATTGAAGTGTAAGTGTACAGCTTTTGAAAATGAAACCACTGAAAATAGACTTGAGCACAGATACATAGATTAGTCACTGGAGGGTGACCACTTCCACATTGTCTAGTGCTGACAGCTGGCCGAATTCTACCGATCATTTGTAATGTGGTCATCAAGCCAGTAGCCTTAGCATCTCTGTGCACCTGGATAGATGTTAATTGGTTGGAGGCAGTTAGCAGGAAGTCCTGAGCCTAGGTTTTGTCCTTGTTGGGCGTTATCACCAAAGCTTACGGGTAGCCTCAAGCAAACGATGTCCCCACTGAGATTCAATCCACCTCCCCCAATTAGGCAGTCATCGACGCTACCACTGGTAACGACTATCTGCAGGAGGTCAGTCGTGGCTTCATTAACTCAGTGTTCGAACTGTCTAACTGTTTAACTCACTATCTTTACTACATGCAATGTTTTAAAATTACTGTAGAGTGGTTTGCAGGTGTGTTATTGAAGCTAATCTAAACAACAGTGAAATAGTTGCATACTTGGTTGTCTTTACACTTGTCGGTCTTTACTGGTTCACTTACCTTTAAAAAGACAGTTCGCTGAGTTATCCGCGTTATTAATTCTATGATCATTAAAAACTCCAACAACTTTTTCTAACTAAAGGGAACATAGTAAACAAAGAAAGACCATTTATAAGCATGAAAAGCTAAGGTCTATATGTCTATATGTCTATATGACTCTCTATATAAACCTAGTTCATGGGAAACGACGAACTGACTACATTTATTTATTCTGAATAGTTGAATAGACTACGATGAGAGTATATTATCTGAAGCTTACAAAGTTTTTTGAACTAGACTCCCAACCACCTCTTCCGATATTTTCGACCGATGATTTTTAGAGTGACAGTTATTCTTTTCGGATCGTCACTACAACGATCGACTCAAATTACAGACGACCAGCATAAACTAAAATGTGAATTATTGTGAATGAATACACCCCAAGAATTAGACTTGAATACTCTGCTGGTGAACAACAGACCAGATTCAAAACCAAGTTTCAGTAACAGTAGAATTGGCAAATTTTCTTAATTACACCATGCATTCAGTCCCAAGAATTTACGCTTGAAGTAATACCAGTTATCCGTAACTTTAGGTGATAGTTGTAATAATCTTATCTTTTCTGAATTGAACAGAATAAAGGTGGGATTTCCCTTACCGTACCCGATGGCATCATTCAAAGCTACAGGAAGATGTGAGCAATAGTAATTTATTTAACAACGATTTGAATACCAGAGATGCAGGCGCATACTTCCAGTGTCTGTACCAACACCAGTGGTATTTATATTTTGACTGACTATTTTGACAATCATTTTTATCTCTGACCCTCATTACTACAGGAAGTTTACGAAAATATTATAGTAAAACAAAAAAGAGGTTACAGCAAAGATATTTCTCTTCTCAACGACTAATTTTCACAGCTGTACATTCGTCTTCCAAGTGCTCACTAGTGCTTAATCACCAGTTATTATTCGTGCATCCAATGTTGAATAGATAAAATGTTTTGAGCAAGTGCTGTAGCAGTGATACAACCAGTATACTCTCCTTGTGTATTTGACACAATAGAATGAAGTGAAAGAAAGTCAATGAATGCTTTACTCGCTAACCTCTTTTTAAACTAAGCGCTTCACTCTACCACAGAATGTAAGCAAACATCATGGTAGTAAACACATGATCGCTCCAGATATAAAGTCTAGGTTACTGTCATCACATTTATACTTTTTCAATAAAAACAAACTTTCTATATTTTTTAGGTGAAGAGAATGTACTGTTTCAGGCAGCTGTAACCTTTATCATTCAAATGACTTTTATTGTAGGCATTTACAAGGGTGTGAGGAAACTGAAGTATCCTGGAGACATGCTCAACCTGTTTGCGCAGTTTTGGAACACATCAATGAAGTGTGTTCACGTTAGAACTCTTCTGCCCAAATGCGAGTAGTAGCCTAAGTGCATTCACGGTATGATGAATACTATCGATAACCATATAGGCTGTTAGTCATGGTCATAGTAAATCAGTTGTGTCAAATACTGTTTGTTCATATTCCTAACTAAGTAGCTTCGTATTTTAGAGAAAGTAATATTAAATGGAATTACTGTTAGAATGAATTATCCCTAACAACTTTTGTGGATTTTCTTTTATCAAACTCTGTACTACTTAGTTGACAGATGAACTTCACCCATTCAAAACTAATGGCTGAGTATTGAGTGAGAAGTTTCCTTCTAGTTGATTAACACATTTACTGTTGTACAGAGGTATCATATGCCTGATTGATTTCATATGTATAAGTTTGATTTGTAAGGTTAGTCTAAGGATAATTTGTACGTAGTCTGATACAGACAGTGCATTTATCAAAATGTATGCGTGAAACGTTCATCTTTTGTATAAAATAACAATGTCTTGTGTCAGTTAAACATAAAGCCTGAGTTAGACTCAATTTTTAGGCCGTTAAACTGATAAAAAGTTATGGATAAAGAAAAACATAGTATGGTACACTCGATCTTGTTCTTTAAACCACTCGTTAAACTTCTAGATGATTTGTGGCAAATTCTGAAGCCTAAATCTTAATACATGCTTATGAATAGACGGTGTTAAGCTTTTTATCGGTACGGGCTTTGTAGGTATTTTCTTATATAGACAAAAAACATTTAAACAGAGGGACGCGAGTTAGATGCTGTCCTGGGAAACGACTAGCTGTTTGATAAATACCTGTTTATTTTTCTAAATGGCCTATGTATGAGGTGTCTTCAATTGTTCAGTATTTTGTAAAGAAATTAGTTGATCCAAGTACTTTAGACAGTCACTAGATTGAGCAAATTTGGTGTATGCTAGTCATAAGTACAATGGTTTATGATGTTGCATTCTTTAATTACATATTGTTTATCACATTCATAGTCAAGTACTTTCACGAATACTTTCTATGACAGCGATAATTTTCTTTGTTATCATTATAAGTTCATAATATTGTCGGTATAGAATTGAGATCTATCCTAGCGCATGACTGAAAATTGGCATTTTTTTTGGTATGATACACTATAACCTCGCCTACTTAACTTGTTCACTAGTTACTAGCCGGTCCTAAGTCCGGATAAAGAGGGAAAGATGGGCATAGGGCTAGAAACCCTACCAAGGTAAAACCAACCCAGTCGGTAAAGAAACTTCACAACACAAAGAAAATATAACAAATAAAAATAAACTTATTCCTTGCTGGAATCAGGGGGAAGTGAAGACGCCGGCTGGTGAAAGCCTTCGGAAAGCCGATTGGCCGATGTATCTTCTTTCGATGAAAGCGGAAGTAAACATAAGGACATAAAATGTCCATACGATGTTTGAAGCTGGCTGGCAAGGCTGTTTAGGTTGCAAAAGAAATGAAAAGATATGGGATAGAAGTGCTAGGAATCTGCGAAAGCAGATGGAATGGAAGTGGACTCTCCTAACTGTCAACTGCAGAGACAATAATCTACTCTGATATTGTCACCCAGACGACAATCACGAGCACACTGAGTTTTGGAGTGGATTTCATGATGTCCTCAACAGCATCGAAGGCTCTCATGCAGTGGGAACCAACCTTCTCCAGCATCAGGATCATGACAGCAAGGTTCAAATCCAAACGAAGGAAAGTCATAATCATTCAATGCTGCGCACATATAAATAATGCAAATGAAGAGAAGAAGGAGGAATTCTATAGACAACTGTAATCAGTAATGGACAAGACCCCACCCCAGTTGGAGACATTAAGATTCTAATAGGTGGGGTGACATGGATGCCAAACTGGGAGCGAACAACACAGGAAGAGAACTCATCATGGGTCGAGAGCACTCACTGAAATGAACGAGAGTGGAGAACCGCTTGCCGATTTCTGCACACTCAGCGATTTAATGATTAGAGGCAGTATGTACAAACACAAGGATATTCACAGGGCAGCGACATGGATTGATTTCACCAGACACCAAATACACTAAAAATCAGATCGACTTCATCTTAATATGAAGGGAGTGGAGATGCAGCCTAGTGGACACAAGATCAGATCAAGAAGGGGAGCAGATGTAGGTTCACACCACTCACTATCTAGTGCAAGGGACCTATATTCAAAATCAAGTTGAAAGCCTCCTGTGAAGCTGGTGATAGACGACCACAGTTCAAGTTGAACACTTAGAACAGAAACTGAAGTACGAAACTGCAACGGACATCTCCACGTCAGCCATCCATCAGGAAAACATGGGAGATATTGAGCAACATCCCTGAAAGAACAGGGCGTGGACGAATACTGAAACTCTTTGGAAGCTATGTGGAAAGAAACCTGCATAACCATATTAAGAAGGAAGAAACAACAAGAAAAGGAATGAATCTTAATGGAAACATGGAAGCTAATAGAGGAGGGAGAGGAAGATGGTGAAGAAGAAGATGAGCTAGTGTAGTGCGGAGATGAACAATGAAAGAGGAACTGAACACAACGGACAAAGAAGTGAAGAAGAGTGCGCGCAAATATAAAAGACACTTCTACGACACACTGGCAAGTGAAGAAGAACAGGCTGCTCGTATGAGAGACAGAGACCTGACAACACCACATGGAATAACCAGGTTACTATCTGGGAGAGAGAAGATCAACGCAGATGAAACAAATGGAAGATAGTGAAAGAAACTTAGTTCCGAAAGAGAGGAAA